AGATTTTTTAAGATGGCTTCTGACGACAGATAACGGAGAATATCATCTCTATATTTAATCAAAACTAGTTTTTTTTATTAGGCTGTTGTGTAGGCAAAAGTTTTTTTTTTTAAAAAAAAAAATCTTAAATTATATCACTAATGTCAATTATAAGAAGAAATTGTTTATCGCATGTAATACTACTAGTTTGTTTTTTTTGTTTTTTTTTTTTAGGTTTTTGTCCCTTTTTCTCTGCGGATTAGAGTCATGCATGACAACAAGAGAAATACGGACAGATTATTGGACGATTTTATAGTATAAAATCTGTGTCAGGATATGGTTGTTAGCTTATGATTGGAAGTTGAAACCTCTTTTAGTTGATTAGAAAGTTTGTGGGATCAATTTTTACTAATAATTGAAGAGAAAATCTCTGTATTTAATTGACAAACGCAGAAAATTTTGACTGTTGTAGTTGAAGGATGATGAGTTTATCTGCTGTTAAATGCTGTGATTAATGCGACATGCACTGCTCCAAAAAGGTCAACTCTTAAAGAGCCTGTTGAAGATTTTTGTTGCTAATAAAGTGGTAGATAGTTACAAACAGTTCATATGGGTTAATGACATAATTACTCTTTTTTCAATAAGCGCCCTTACATATGGCTAGTTTAAAAAGATCAACGAGAATCTAGTTTTCAATATATAATTCTATATAATCAATTCATTACTGATCAACTCATTTCTGTCAACTATTTAATGTGTCTAGCAAAAGTATGCGGCTTGGACATTATATCATCTAGCATTTTATTGTTGTGTCCTTTGTGATACCGGGTACCACGTGTTTGGTAGAGTTATTACCCAAAAATAGGGATTAAATAAGTGCTTATGAACCGAATGCTTGCAAATAGAATTTCAGGGACTTAACTAAGTTTCTTATGAGATTAGTGGTTAAAAAAATGGATTTGAGTTATAAATGTAAGGATCATTAGTGTCAATAGCGGCATTTGGAAATCTTACCAAACCAAACCTCGAAAGTTTTTAACTTTGTCCTCGAGGAAATGTTACCTTGTTCACATACTTCCGCAAAATTCAATTTATACCCTAAAGGCTCGAAAAGTGATCTTTAGCTAAACCCAAACTTTGATGGCCGATTGGCGATTTTCATTAAAAACAAGGGAGATCAATGTAACCAACTAAAATTTTTCAAAATTTGATATATTGTCAAAATTCCCCCATCACTTTCAACAACGACTTGGTAACTAATAGCAGTATACCAATAATAATAGAGCTTCACAACGAACCTTCAAAGAGGTAATAATTGGTTTAATTTGGGAAACGGATGTAATGCGTTTATAGAGTTTGAAAGTGAGATCGCCACAAACACTCTGCTCAGTGTGCATCACCAATGTTTTCCAATAACAAGGAGGTGGCCAACCAAATAGTAGCTTCAGCATTTCAGTCAATTTCCTTTATAAGGTAAAAACACCTATCAATGAGAGGCTGGGTCTATTACTGATAATAAATACAGTATTATTTTTTCCGTCCCAAAAGGAAAGACTCGTGTTTTAATTGAAGTGTATATGATAAGTATGATTAAGCTCAATTACTACAAGGAACTCTGACACAAGTACCCTTATCTTTATTTACTGTAGTATTATACTATTATGTTTAGCATAAAGCTAACGAAAATCAAGCTTACAGGTAGCCTAGGTAGGGCCGAAAAGTCCAAATTTAGTGCATTATTTTGCCCACTGGGAAGTTCTGGATGCTTAATCCTCATTCCAAAAATAAACTATAACTATAAATCGTGATTAAAGTTCTTTCCCTTTTTAAGTTGAAAGCCCACTATCCATCGATCTTTAAGTAAGTCAACTCTTTTGTTAAACACTATCTGTAGCTCCGTTTTATGCAGTTTTTTTTTTAATCCAAAAACTCTACCACTTAATGGACTTTTCTTCGTTTGAGAATTCTCAGAATTAGTGCAAAAATGTTAGGAAAGAGATGACTTAATGCTTAGTAAAACTTAAAAAGATCATCTTTTCCACGTAAAATACACGGATCAAGATTGAGATTGACTTTTTTATTTTTATTTTAGTTAGTTGCCTTAAGCTCAGCGAAATGGATAAAGAGCATTTGTCTGGTGTGCAATTAGTAAAATTTATATGATGTCGCTGCTGAATTATGTTTAATTAATTATCTAAATCATCATTTGTACCAAACAAAATTTTTTTATCTAAATCATTCAATCACAACATTGTATTCATGGAAAATCGTTTTAGATTGGGATTATCAACCGAAGCAATCGACATTACTACGTAATTTTGGATTAACTTAGTGTTGTCCATGAAAATTAGAGTCAACAACTCGTAGGCAAAAATTATTATTTAAATTTATGATAAATCAGCCATAGATAATCAAACATTCAAACTTGACATATCAAAATTAAATCTTTAGCTTGTCTTTTTTTTGGCAATGAAAAATGCCCACTTTCGTTAACTTATATTGGAAAACGTTAATTGACAATGATAGAATGCACATTGCACCTAAATGTAACATTTACTGAAAAACGTTGAGCAGTGATTGGTGACGATATAATACTCGTTGTAACGATTGACAATGACAGAATTTGCACAGTACCAAAATTAATATTAACAATAAGTTTACTTAATTTGAAAATTTATAGCATAAGTTTTGAGCCTTGATTCAATATTTTCGCCAAGTGACCAAACACCAAATGTAGGTGGGTGGGTGTGTGTGTGTATTGTCCCACCTTATTGGGGAAGAATTGTTGTTTTGGACACTTATGGCCATAGAAGAAGATTCATTCAACTTCAAAGTAACAAAAGCCAGAGAGAGAGTTGCAGCATGGGGGTTCATAAAGGGAGAAATGAAAAAATTATGGGACGAAGAAATAATTTAGCATAGAAAAAAAAAAGAAAAAAAAAAAAAGAGAGGAAGAACAAGAAGAAGAGGAAAGAAAGGGGACCAGGAGGGGGTTATTGGGGCTGTGGGCAAGCGCGTGGGACATTTTGATGTGACCTACATTTAGGTTAGCCAAATCGAATTAACCGCCACGTATCTTGGAACCCCTTTTCTTTTTTTTTTTATTTATGTACCAAAAAAAAAATTAGAGGGTTGAACGCGGGATTTTGTATAATTGTTTTTAGTAACGAGTAGAATGCGCCAATCTCTCTTGAGTCTTGCCCACCTTTCTGATTCCAGTGTGTGTAAACACTGATTTTAGCCCACGCGAAGTTCAAGAAGAAAATTGACATGAAATGAAACCAGACTAGATTCTCTACCTAACAACATTCTAAGTTGTTGATACTCTTGATATACTTCGATGCACCAACACCGATTTCAACCAGGTGAAAGTTGGATCATCGGTAAGAAGCACAACAAATAATAATAGAAATCACGAAATTATATCTGGTCGATTTTGTGATTAGTAACAAATGATCATATTGAGAGAACACGTAATTCGTAATTTAGAGATTATTGGTTAACCACAGTTAAATTCCACGAGCTAGTTCTAATTGGAGAACCAAAATATTGGGACAGCAATCCAATGACTTGCACCATTTTATTGTTGGTTGTTTACAAGTTTCAAACCCATAAAATTACTGAATTGTTATGTAAGTTACACTCGGCAGCCAATAAGTGAGAGGATAAAAAGTTAAAAAAACAGGGGATACTCTGAGCAAATATCCACTAGGTGAGGAGATAGATAGAGAGATCATCAATTCCTGACTTATTTAATGTAATGTACTTTTGAATTGGTACGATTGAAGACTATTTAACAGACGATGTAAATTGTCAATGAAAATGTTACCAAATGAAGCTAGTTTTAGGGTACAATTTCCGATATGGATGAAGGACAGAAACACAAAAAAGGTAAAAGAAAAAGGGTGACCAGATCAAAGTATTCACATTCATCAGTCAATATTTATTTACAATAAATACTTTTTTGCCTTAACCAACCCCCAACTCGTTACGGAATACAGTACTTTGCACAATTAATCACCAGCGCTCATCTCCTGCACCAAAAAAGTTACAAAATAAAATCAAGAAATTGAAGCCAAAGTTGTTTGAAATTTTGAAAAGATAACAACCGATCCACACTCCTCACGTCCCCCCCCCATGACACAATTTTAAAAAATATCTCTGCCTTCCGCGTTACTCAAACGTTTTGGGCAATTTTACAGTAATTTCTTAAAGAAAAAAGAGAGATACACAAAGCCATATGCCAATTAACATCCTAACAACCTCCTTTAGTTGATTAAAATAAAAATTCTGTTACACTAATCTTGACTCATTACACTAATAACGAAAGAATGAGTCTAATAATAACTATAAAGTAATATATATGTGTGAAACAAAAATCAATTAAAATAACCAAAACACATTTATAAAATTTCTTTTGTGTGTATGTTTCAAGCAGCAATACGATTACTATGTCTTAGGCATTCGGGACATCCGATCTTGACCAATTATAAATATATATTTAATCACTGTTACATACTCATATCGGGTCAGTAAGAGAGCATCTTATACATTTTCAGCTTCTGTACTGAGTGAAGTGAATAAAAAACCATTTGACGGCTCATAAATTAGAATGTAAAACAACCTGACAAAAAAACCCTCTGCTTCAAATTGACCGTTGATAATAGTATTTTTTTCGCTTTGCACAAAAACTTTAGCCAAAAGAAAAGGAAAACCAAAGCATGTTATAGGCTGGGAATAGGAGCAAAAGGAGGGTTCGTGTCAAAGGAATAAGAAACAATGTCTCCCTCAGAGCACCACACCCCTCACCCCACACCCCCCCGCACAGGAGAGTATGAGTAAGTCAGTCAAATGACTCAACGCCATTGGCAAATCCTTAGAGTTTATTTCCAATTTCCATATATCCAACACGTGGGCTTCACCTACATGTTATGTTAGAGGTGGGCCTCCATGCCCCCCCTACCCCCTTCCCCCAAATTTTTTTCCTCTATATATACTCTGCTCTCTCTCATCCCTCTCCCCCCAAATCACAGCAAAAACACAACAACAAAATCACATATACACACAGTCACACACTCTCTCTTATTCCACTCCTTAACAAAAAAAGACCAATCTTTTTTTTCCCCATAAGGAAAAACATTTGAGACCATCAAGATAGGTAAAAAACCATGGTTCCTGCTACTATTACACCTCCATCATCCAATTCATTGTTATCATCATGTTCTACTTCTTCTACTTCTTCTTCTTCATCTTCAAGAAGAAGAGCAGGGGAGATGGGTTGTTCAAATTCATTAGCATTTACTGCTGCTCATCAGAGTAATAACTACATTAATTGCTCTTTGCAAGCACCTACAAAGCCCTTTAATCTTCCCTTGAAGAAATCTTCTTCTTCTTCTAGTCCTTCAAAAACACTTGCTCCATCAATTGCCACCCCTTTAAAACCCACTACTCTCCCATTGCCGTCGCCATCATCGCCGCCGACCACAGCCCCACCACCACCACAACCACAATGGAACGTACTACAACGGGCAGCCGCAATGGCCTTGGATGCCGTGGAGAGCGCGTTGACAGCACGTGAATTGGAGCAACCCCTGCCTAAGACAGCCGACCCACGGGTCCAAATTTCCGGGAATTTCGCTCCGGTGCCGGAGCAGCCCGTCCGGCAATCCCTTCCGGTGACTGGCAAAATTCCCGCCTCAATCCAAGGCGTCTATGTCCGGAACGGCGCTAATCCCCTGCATGAGCCCGCCGCCGGCCACCACTTCTTCGACGGAGACGGCATGATCCACGCCCTCCAATTCAAAAACGGCACCGCCAGCTACGCTTGCCGGTTCACCGAAACTCAGAGGTTCGTCCAGGAAAGGTCTCTTGGCCGCCCTGTTTTCCCAAAAGCGATTGGAGAACTCCACGGCCATTCCGGCATAGCAAGACTTATGCTTTTCTATGCCCGTGGCCTATTCGGCCTAGTTGATCACAGCCAAGGAACTGGAGTTGCCAACGCCGGTTTGGTTTACTTCAACAACCGGTTGCTGGCCATGTCTGAAGACGATTTGCCTTACCACGTCAGAATTACTCCTTCAGGGGACTTGAAAACTGTGGAGAGGTACGATTTTGATGGGCAATTGAACAGCACAATGATCGCTCACCCGAAGCTGGACCCGGTTTCAGGGGAGCTTTTTGCTCTGAGTTACGATGTGATTCAGAAGCCGTACTTGAAGTACTTCCGGTTCAACCCCAACGGTGAGAAATCCAAGGACATTGAAATCCCGGTCCCGGAGCCGACCATGATGCATGATTTCGCCATCACCGAGAATTTCGTGGTGATCCCGGATCAGCAAGTGGTGTTCAAGATGTCGGAAATGATCCGGGGCGGGTCGCCGGTGGTGTACAACAAGGAAAAAGTATCACGGTTCGGAGTTCTGGATAAGTATGCGGAGGATTCTTCCAAGATTCAGTGGGTGGGAGTTCCTGACTGTTTTTGCTTCCATCTCTGGAATGCTTGGGAAGAACCAGAAAGCGATGAAATCGTGGTGATTGGATCGTGTATGACGCCGCCGGACTCGATTTTCAACGAATGTGACGAGGGATTGAAGAGTGTTTTGTCGGAAATCCGTCTCAACTTGAAGACTGGAAAGTCCACGAGGAGACCAATCATCAACAACCCTGAGGATCAAGTCAATTTGGAAGCCGGAATGGTGAACAGAAACAAGCTCGGGAGGAAAACCAGGTATGCTTACTTAGCCATAGCCGAGCCGTGGCCCAAAGTCTCTGGTTTTGCAAAAGTGGATCTTTTTACCGGAGAAGTTAAAAAGTACATTTACGGCGACGAGAAATACGGCGGGGAGCCTCTGTTTCTCCCGAGGGATCCCGAGAATTCAGAAGTGGAAGATGATGGATACATTTTGACCTTTGTCCATGATGAAAAGAAATGGAAATCCGAGCTCAGAATCGTCAACGCCATGAGTTTAAAGTTAGAGGCCACGGTGAAGTTACCATCAAGAGTTCCCTATGGTTTTCATGGCACCTTCATTAATGCCAAAGACTTAGCAAATCAGGCCTAATTTTTTTTTTTTTTTAATTTTGCTTCTTTATAGAGGTGAGATTGACCAGAGGGATGGTTTGCAGATACGTCCCCGGAAATCTCCCCCCGAGGAGGATTTTCTCTGTTATACTCTGTTTTTTGGTTCTTGTTTTTTTTGCCCCTTTTTTGAGAGGTGGTTTAATTAGAAGGTTGGTTAGGGGGGGGTTTTAATTCCTTCCATGGTGAAAGGTTTTGGAAATCCAGCTTGTAGCTTTGGATGTAGAGGTAGTTAAAATCGAGCTCAGCTGGTTTCTGCTGCTTCTTTTTCACATAATTATTAGCACGAGGAAGTATATATATATAAATATTACAAAAAACATAATATGTTGTAAATGTCTCATCTCAATCTCGTCATATATATGTACATACAGTATATACCATATCTTTCCCCTGTTTGTTTGCAATTAATGGAGTATACTTTTTACTCCTTAATCTTCTGATTTTTTTTTCTTTCCCCTTCCTTTTTTACATGAATATGCTCATGATTGCTAGTTTGAAAGCTCTGTTTTTTTTTTCTCTTCACTTTACTATGATGAATTCTTTGGGGGGAACCAATGCAGAGGTTACACATTGAGCCAATAAACTGTTTGTGTTTATATGATGATCAAAGGGCATAAAAAAGTGAAGGCAAGATACTGAAGAAAACACGACAATTTGGGGGGGTCGTTTTCTTCAGTTTCAAGATATCCAGACACGAGGTCAACTTTCCACAGAGCTATTTTTATAAACAGGTTTTTCGGAAGTTGAAATTGATTGGGGATCTGAGAGTGTGAGACACACTAATAAGATTATACAGCAGCGTCCGAATGAAATTGATAGCCACAACGTTTGTTTGTCTTAGGTGAAATGAAAGTAACTGAATTGATGCAAACGTTTGTCTTTTTTTTTTTAAACCTATCTTTTAAAAAAAACGTTAATCTTGGCATGCAGACAAGTAAATGTGGTATCCGGAGATTGGTGATTCAATCAATTTTTCTGGTCACTTATTAGCAGTTCCGAGAATGAACTTTAGTCGGCGCTTTGAAAGATTTTTGCAAGTTCGGTTCTCACCAATTTCTTTGCCGGTTAGTTCTTATTTCCGTTACTATAGAAGTCCATGGGGTTCCTCAAAAGACGTTTGAGAAGAGACGTTGGGCTTAAGGGAGGGTGTTGGGATAAAAGAATCTCACATCGGTGTCGTGAACGATCTGTCACCTGTTTATAAGTGCCAAAGGCCACCCCACTCATTAGCCAATTGGTTTTGAGGTGGAACCTCATGGGCTTCTATATGGTATCAGAGCCAGCCCGTCACGAGTCGGACTCCAAGCCTGATTTAATAGAACTGGTAGGGCTGAGACGTGAGGCGGTGACTGGGCTGACAAGCCTAACCCAAGAAGAGACGTTGGGCTTGCGAGGGAGTGTTGTGTCACGCAATTTAGGAATCGGGTTGATATCGGATCTTCCAGAAGCGGGTTTGATTGACGTGTTAATTGACAGGTACATTAGGGTAAAGATGCGACACCGTTTTAAGTTAATTGGGGGCAAAGCAGAAGGAAGCTTCCAGCGACTTGCTCATGAACGAAGACAAAAGTAAAGCTGGCAGATAATGCCTTAACTGTAAATATTGTTTTCCTTTAATTTTTAATTTAAAATTACACAGGTAGGAGAGGAGATTCCTTAAATTGTACGAACATTGATGATGGAAGGGCATTCTAAAATGTTATGAAATCTCATCTCTTTTCCTTTGCCTAAAACCCTAGCCGCCCCTCAATATTTCTGAATTTCATCCTCTCCTCTGCTCCTCCTTCTCTACTTAATCCTCTAAGATTTGAATTCTGAAACTCTGAATTCTGTTTTTCATGACATTTGGTATCCCAGAGCCTAAAATCCTCTGACCTTATGGGGAGAATTAATCATGACTTCGGTCACTCGCTCTCAATCTTCTGCTGCCCTTGAAGAACACGCAAGGAGACTAGATTCAATCGAGAACGAAATTAAAGAGATGAATGTTAAGCTGAACGAGATTCAGGAACTGAAGGAACAAGTCAAGCTCTTGGCCGACGCCGTCAATTCAGTACAGTCAACCTTGAAGGGGAAGTTCATTGATGAAGGACAAAGCTCGAGACTGTCGGAAAGATCTCTTCTTGGGGCACCAGAAACACACCTCAGAGCCCAGACAGATGATTGCCACCCGACGCCGATGAGGGTCGATGTGCAACAGAGGAACCCCTATCCAATTACAGAACAAGTTCCAGCCAGAGAAATTGGTGACAGAAACACTGTATTGATGCAGCCAAGAATCGAACTCACTGAATTTCGGGAAGACAACCCGACGAGTTGGCTCAAAAAGTGCCAAAAGTTCTTTACCATCCATCACATCAGGGAAGAGCTCAAAGTAGCATCCACAGAACTCAATCTGGGAGGAAGAGCAGAAACTTGGTATGAAGGTTACAATCTGCATGGCCGGAGACTGACTTGGGAGGAATTTAGTGAAGCAGTAATTAAAAGGTTTGAATTGAGAGGCGAGAAGGATGAATAGGTGGGTAGTCTTCGTGATTACATAGACCAATTCGAGGAACTTAAGGCTAAGGTGATGAGAAAGGATGAAAGACTCCCCGAGTCTTATTATCGAGTTTTATGAGCGGACTAAAAGAAGAACTCAAGCCAGAACTTCGCTCAAAGAAACCTCTTGATTTATCCTCACTGATGGATGCGGCTATTTTCCAAGAACAAGAGCTGGAATTTTAGAACAAACGTCACAGGAACCCTCCAGGGCAACTTCAAAGGATCCCCATGGCTGGAGGAAGGAAGGCAAGCCCACAATTGGCTTGGAAAGGTAATGGAAAAACAACCCCCTTCAATACCTTAAAAAAGATCACTCCCCAGGAAGTTCAGTATCATAGAAACCACAACTTATGTTTTAAGTGTGGTGAAGAGTACGTTCCAGGGCACCACTGCGCCAATGCTTATTTTATTCTGGCGGATGAAGGGGAGCTAAATGATTCGGATTTGGAGATTTGTGAACTAGAGGAAGATGAGACTGTCGCAGAAGGGGTTAAGAGGATTTATCTGAATGCTTTATCTAGTGGGAATAATAAAAAATCAATTATAATCAGGGGGAAGATAAACGAGAAATGGATTAATATTTTGCTTGATACTGGAAGTAGCGACAGTTTCGTAGATTGCAACTTGGTGAGAGCATTATCTCTCCATTATCAGCCGTGTCCCCCTTTTGTGATCACTATGGCTAATGGTTCTAGAATCCAAGGGTCTATGTGGTGTCCTGCAGTTTCATGGGACATCCATCAGTTTAATTTCACCTTCAATCTTAGGATCATGAATTTAGGAAGCTTGGATATCATTCTGGGAGTCGATTGGATGGCGAATTTCAGCCAAGTTTCTTTTGATTACCCAAGGGGGAGAATCAACCTTACCTGGGGAGACAGACAGTATACACTCTATGGGGAAGGTGAGGACCCAACACTGAATATGGAAAAAGGGGAAGATATCCGTGGCTATATAGAAATCAAAAAAAGAGGTATGATGTGTAAGGCTCTCACTATGCAGGATAAGAAAGAAGAGATTGTGGGATCTAAGGGAGAGCCAATGCCGAAAGAGTTGCATTACTGGGGAATTTCGAAGAAGTCTTCAAGACTCCCCATACAATACCACCGGAAAGGGAGATAGAGCATTGTATTGAACTAAAGCTGGGAGCTTAACCCTTCGAAGTGAAACCATATAGATACCCTCACTCGCACAAGGATGAGATAGAACGTCAAGTGGCTGAAATGTTGGAGAATAAAGTTATTCAGTATAGCTCAAGCCCTTATTCTTCTCCGGTGCTCTTAGTCAAGAAGAAGGATGGAGAATGGAGGTTTTGTGTCGATTATAGACGACTAAATTACTTGACAATCAAAGACCACTACCCTATTCCAGTAATAGAGGAACTGCTCGATGAGTTAGAAGGTTCCCGCTTCTTCTCTAAACTGGACTTGCGTTCTGGATACTTTCAAATCCGAATGAGGAGTGAAGATGTACCCAAGACTGCGTTTCAAACGCACCATGGTCACTACGAATTTCTCGTGATGCCATTCGCGCTTATGAACGCCCCTGCCACCTTTCAGTTGATGAATCGTATTTTTAAAGACTTAATCAGAAAATACGTCATGGTGTTCTTCGACGACATTCTAGTTTACAGCACCACGTGGGAGCTTCACAAGGAGCATTTGACGACAGTACTTAAGATTTTGAAGGAAAACCGTCTCTATGCTAAAATGTCAAAATGTTTATTTGCCAAGGAAAACATAGCATATCTTGGCCACATCATTTCATCAGAAGGGGTGAATATGGATAAAGAAAAGGTTGCTTGCATCTGGGAATGGCCATCACCAAAAACAGTAAAGGAGTTGAGGGGGTTCCTTGGACTCACAGGTTACTATAGGAGATTTATAAAAGATTATGGGATGATTGCTAAACCTTTGACCAAGCTCCTTAAGAAGGACGGATTCCAGTGGACAAATGAAGCCGAACAAGCATTGAATCAGTTGAAAATGGCCATTACGTCAGCACCAGTACTAAGACTTCCCGACTTTTCAAGACCATTTGTGATTGAGACGGACGCTTGTGACCGAGGAATGGGGGCAGTATTGATGCAAGACAACCATCCAATCGCTTTTCTTAGCAAGACATTTAGCCCAAAGAATCAAGGACTCTCTGTGTATGAAAAGGAGTTACTGGCAGTAGTTATGACAGTAACCAAATGGAGGAATTATGTAGAAGGCCACCACTTCATATTGAAAACAGATCACCAAGCTTTGAAACATCTATTGGAGCAGATATTGACCACCAGAATGCAGCATAAATGGTTGGCTCGACTTTTGGGGCTTGATTATGTAATTAGCTACAAGAAAGGAAGTGAAAATAGAGCAGCCGGCTCACTATCCAGGTTGCACGAAGAAGGAAACAAAGAAATGACCAACTTGGCGATAACAGTGGTAAAGCCTAAATGGATGGAGGAGGTAGAATCCAGCTACGAGGGAGATCAAGCAGCTTAGGAGTTATTAACCAAGACAGTGCTGAGTTCAAACGACAAGTCTGCGTATCAGGTCGTCCAAGGAATATTGAAAAAAGGGGATAAAGTGTATCTTGGGACTTCAAACAACATCAGGCAGCAAGTTTTGGAGACTATGCACTCATCTTCACTAGGAGGGCACTCTGGACAGACAACAACCCTCAAACGTGTAAGTTCCATTTTTTATTGGCCTTCCCTGAAAAATGACGTCGAGGAACTCGTTCGTGGCTGTGAAGTTTGCCAGAGGAGCAAAAGTGAACGAACTCCGTATCCAGGGTTGCTCCAACCCTTGAGCATTCCCCAACAAGCTTGGAAACACATCAGTATGGATTTCATCGAGAGATTGCCTCCT